ATAGCCAGGGTAAGGTTCTTTTCAGTGCTAACTTTATAGCATGTTTACTGCATGTAACTAGTTTCTTGCACTTTCAGGAAGAAGTCACCCATACCTTAACAGAAAATCGTGTTTTACAAAGATGCAAGCATCCGTTCCTGACGGTACGTTGTTTGACATTGTACCACGCTTAGACATCTTTATTATAATCGCGCATCTAGGATTCGCGGGGTACTTAGAATCTCGTGCATTCCATAAGGAACCTAACATCCCAAAATGGGGCAAGTTGGGAAAAATGACGTGCTAACAATAAGATTCGATGATACGCGATTTTGCGCTATGTTGCATCGCGTAGTTTGTTTGTTTAGTTTGCTCTGTCTACACGCTGAATCCACAATTTGCTAGAGTTGAATGATAGTATTCACGACATGGTGGTGAATTTTCATAAAAAAATTCGTCTTTAGTGCAAAGGAAGGAGTTCTCCCTCACTTTCGGATACTCCCCTATAAGAATCACTATAATTTTGCATTCCTCGAATCTTCGAATATACGAGTCTGTATGAAGCGCCAAAGAGGGAGTCTTTGGTGTTGATCAGTGTCTTTCGGATACGCCATGCAACCCACATACATCTTATAGGGTGCATTTTAGTGGTCACTTTGCTCGTCCGAAAGGACTAATTATTAAGTGGATGTTCATTTTTAACCGTAATATTCAGCAAAATTTTGGTCATGAAACAGGCAAAAGTCGATTCACAAATCGTACAGCTGTAGCGGCATGACTTCCGAGTGCGACTTCTGCGGTCAAACTTTTGATAAGGGACATGTAGCCTTGAAAGCTTCAAAAAAAAAACTTTCTTCATAACTTAGCACAAAGCGAAGTTTTCCAAATAATGTTCTAGCAGCGTCTTCCTTTTTGCTTAATTGTTTGCAAGAAAAAAACTAACCATAAATGTTCGGCGGATTTTTAACCCGTATGCTTTCGCTCATTTTTTATACATTTTGGCACAGTATTTTGCTCGAAACTTTTCAGTGAGCTGCACAGAAATTTTCTCCGATTTTTCTGGTGTTCTTTTCAGTGCTTCTTTGCATAGCCAATGACTAATCGGAGGCTAAATTGGAAAATTTTCTACCGTGTTGTGAATTTATATTGAGCCTGTATTTCGGCCACTCTTTTTTCCAAGTTCTATTATCGTAGTTCATTCCTCTTAGCAAATTTGTGGAGCTTTTCCAGTAGACGTAGTGTAGCTCTATTGTGTTGTGCTTCTTTAAACACCCTTTACGTGTTGTTCGGAGCTGAATTGTACCATCAACGTGACGGCAACACGCACACATCTTCACATCGCCTGGAACGCTATTGGTGGTCGTGTGTTTTTAGCAACTGACGTATAGTTTCCAAACAACGCATCACCTGTGTTTCGTGATGGAATTCGCCAACGGAGGGGAGCTGTTCACGCATCTGCAGAAGAGCGGTACATTCAGTGAAGCGCGTTCACGATTTTACGGAGCGGAGATTGTGCTTGCTCTGGGATATTTGCACAGTCTTTCGATTGTCTATAGGGATATGAAGGTATGTTTTCATTTCTTTCCCAGGGAGTCAGTTGTGTTTCGATCGATTATTAGATCAAGTTACTGCATGTTTCGTAATTGTTTCTACAGAAGTTGTGTTTCGTAGCTTTTTTTTTCGATTCAGTGAAGTTCATCCGTCTGATAGTGAGAAGAGTAAAGCACGACTTCTGTGGTTTATTTGGTGTGGTTCCTTATTTACCTGTCTGTATATTTTGTAAATTTTGACTACTTTGAGCATCTGGAAGCAAGGGCTAATTAACTGCATGGTTCCTCTATCATTTTTTTTTACATTTCCGGTAAATCTTGAAAAGAATTTTGTTAAAATGGACCCTCAGATAGTAGTGAGTATCCCCAGTTTTTGTTTCTTGGTCACTTTCTACAATTTCCTATCTCTTTTAAACTGCATAAATATGTGGTTTGATCGAAGCTCGCATAGAAAGTAACTGTGTGAAGATAATTGAGACGACAGTTTTGCTCCTTATTTCTCACCGATTTGTCTACTAATCAAAACCCACTTGGTCAGATTTTATAATAGGCATTATCTATGTAGGCTGGTGCAGATCCTCGATGCCGTCGCAGGTTTCCACGCCGCTTCAGCGATTTCGCGACGGGTCACGGTAACTCACAAGTGCCCCATCAATACTGCAAGGTGTTCTCCAATGCCGCCGCCACTTCTGCTTGATAGTGATGGCTGAATGACGACTGCCCTCATGATTCCACTTGTTTGATATTATAGAATCTAGAATTATAGGATAGAATAGGAACGAATCATGAGCATTTCAATGAACTGATAGACATGAACATGAAACAAGTAGAATCACGAACAGTCGTCTTTCAATCTTCACTGTCAAGGCAGAATTTCGCAGCAGCAGGATTAAACAATCACGCTTCGCCAGTATCATCGGGAACTTCCAACCCTGTGATTCATCCGCTAGGTGGGGGCTGGTTTTGTGTTTCGTGTCAAATCGGCGGAATCAGCCGCAACCCTGCGAATCGGCTCGCGACTCTCGCACCCAAGAAAAATGAAATGTCCGTTCAGGCCCGATGTCAGACTTTGCGAATCGCGCGATTCGCTAGCGTCTGCGGTCGCGTCGCGGCCAGTGAATCACTCAATTGGCTGGTACCGCAACGCGACCGCGGACGCTAGCGAATCGCGCGATTCGCAAAGTCTGACATCGGCCTATAGCAGTGACGAGCGGAAGTAACTCTTGCAAGTTTCGGGAACGCCTGCATGAGCACCTGCCTCCATTAGGCACGTTAGTTTTAAAATTCTGTTCTTGCTAAAGGTCGAATCATACTTGTCAATTTGCGGCTTGGCAGTTCGAAGTTAAGCAGAAGTGTCAGCACCGATGGGCAAATAGCGTGGCGTTTGCGAAGCGAGCCCCTATTCTATAAAAAAACGATGCCGATCGATGCCGGCATCTAAAACTTGAATTGCCCAAACAGAACTGCGAACGTATATTCGACCTTGAGATGGAGCAGGTGAACATGCGCTACTATCAGTGAATTGCCCCGAGTTCAAATCAGCTAGTGTAAGATTTTTTCATTGACAGCGTTTCCCTTTTTGCATGTTGCATGTGTTGTATTAAAGCTTCTCGCTTAACCACTGCTATCGAGTAACAGCGATTCGCCATAGATTTCTAGCCTCGTTCTTATTGAAAACGTTAGCACGTTCATGGGATCTGTTTTCGCATCTAATTATAAAACCTGGTTTTGTGAAGAAACTTGAGGCTTAGACCTTATTGAGCGCATTGGCTTTTGGAAGAACTACCGAGTTCATATCCATCAAGGCAGTGTAGGTTTTTTTACATTGCTGTAAATTTGCCAAATTGGAAGATTATCGCGAGCGGAGGTTCGAAGCGTGGAAGCAGCCTTGTCCAAGGATTTTACGAACCGGGATAAGACCTGTTGTAACAAAGAAGAAATAGTGTTAGTGATAAATAGCACATTTGTATCACTGAGGATCGGCTGGTATCAAAATTAGACGTGAATTTGGGAAGGCTTTAGGGGTTCATAGAGATATCCACATATGACGCGCGATAAATGTGACATTAAAAATAGGCATTATTCTCAATAATTGTGTACAGGAGCTGAAATACTCGTTCCAAACGGCTGATCGTCTATGCTTTGTGATGGAATTCGCTATTGGCGGTGATCTGTATTACCATCTGAATCGTGAGGTACAAACCTCGAAAGAGGGCTTCTCGGAGCCGCGAGCTCGATTCTATGGTGCCGAGATTGTATTGGCACTTGGTTACCTTCATGCAAACAACATCGTCTATCGCGATCTAAAGGTCTGATCATAAGGAAATAGATTAGTCGAAATTAACCATTTCATTATCATCCATGGCTAGCGGTTCTTATCAGTTTATAAAAGATAAACCTAAGGGACATGTGTATTCAATTGAGTGTCTTTTTCACAGTCATAATTCTCAATATATGTGAAGCAAAAGTTCGGAGTGTTTGTCAGCTTGCTTGTCTGCACGTTCTTCTGCTACCTAGAAAAAACTGCGGTAGTGAGAGGGGCTCCATTAAGAGTGGGTACGGTAGTGGGCGGAGCTAGACCAAACGGGTGGGCGCGCTCCAAACTTTACGCAGGAATGAAAGCCCCACTTTGCCTTCTGCAGCATTGTGGATTTTGGCAGACAATAGGGGCATGGCCAACCGAAGACCGAGTCTTTGATATGACGCATAGTTCGATATCTTTCAAAATCGAAGGTTTTTGCACAGAATGATCAAACCGGGTAACGAACCACACCATTGGTCAGGTAGTCGAAAGTCGAAGTTCTTTAGGACCATAGACTAGGATCGGTATTATCAGAATGTGAGTTTGCACAGCTTCCCCTGAGGGCGGCCTCTTATCAAAGAGAACGAATCCCCTCGTTGATTGCGATGAGTAATCGAGTTTAGCACTCCTGCGACGCGTACAGTATAGTGCACGGTTCAATTTTTGCTTTCCATCGCTTCAACCGGAAGTTCAATTACTGGGTGAGAACTTGT